GGCCCCACACCTACATGAAGAGCTATCAGTGGCCAATGGCAGCTGAGAAAGGGAGAATCCGTCTCTTCCAGGGAAGAGTCCTGAGGGGCTATGTCTACAGTAGTCACATGTACACAGGTCAACACTGAATGGACTAGGCAGGTTATGTTTTAAAATAAATACAGCAAGAAATAATGAAAATTCAAAATGCTAAGTTTACCTGAGGGACAAAGAGTTGGCAGTGTTCTCTGAGAAGTGTTTATCAGATCATAATTGGCCTAAAGGACAATAACTAACTGTAGATGTCATATATGATAATCATTTTAGTTTTTTTAGGTTTTGTACTTATCTCTATATTTTCATTTTAAGTACTGAAAGTAGTTTATAAAAGTTTTAGTGTTTTGTGATCAATAGAACCAACTCGGGCTAAAACAGGAGGTTTTTCTGGAGCCCATAAAATTTATTATAAAGCTCACCCATATGTCACAAAATACATTCACTGATTTTTAAGAACAAAGTGTATGAGTGCAGTCATTTAAAAGACGACAACAGCAAATAATATTATTGAGTAGCCCAGAATACAATATAAATTTTTTTAAGCTTAAGGATTTTGGCAAATTTATTTCAAAGTCCAAAGTCATTCACAATATATTAAAAATATCATAAATATAAAATCATTTGAGTGAAAGGTCAGTCTTCTACAGAAAACCTACAAGAGGTTTATGCCGCAAACATGGTAGATAACCAGTGCAGGTGGTGGGAAGCCCTGCTGAAGTGTTGGCCAGTTTGCGGATGGAGTGGCTGAACTGTGCTGGGCACCATGTGATACACAACCACAAGGCAGCTCATAGTGACACTTAGGAAAGCTGGAGTCATTGAAGGTGCCATTCAGAAAGCGTCAGGCCTGCTCGTTTGGGCTGAGGACTCAGAAGCAAGACTTACTAGGGGTGTGGACATCAATCTGCAACTGGAGCTGGAAACCGGAAGTGAGTTTCAGCCATTGGCCTCTACAGTCACAACGCTCTCTCGATGCCTTCGAAATAAACTTGAACTCCCTGGGATCCTGATGCATCTTGTCTTGTTTTTTTCTATAAACTTTTTACAAGTGGAAGAACAATATTCTATCCATATGGGCATCAGTCATTTTGAGGAATATGGGGCATAGCTGTATAATTTATAAGACCTACATAGGTCCGGCTTTTCCTCGCTATATACATAAGCTGCTGTGGCACTGCCAACTCCAGCTTCTAACGCCAGGCCCTGCTCCTCGGCTAATCCTTTGCTCCAAAGCACACATTTATGACTGCCCTCATCTCAAGACGGTCATGCAGCCACCTCACGGCATGACGGGGTAAATCATAAGACTGCAGTCTTTCCTTGCCAGACTAGTATTTTGGCCCATCCCATGGCCATTGTACAAATATACACCTGTACACTAAAATGATTTTTTGCGACTTTTTTGGTAAAAATTAAACTAATTGATGAATTTTTCTCTCAGCTAAATGCAGGTAATAGAAGGGGTATTCTCCTTCCAAGAGAAAAAACGCCTCCTTATTTGGAGGTACTATAGATATGGAGTCCTGACAAAGAAACTGAAACGAATTCAATTTCCTAGATATTTTTATTTTCCTGGGAGGAAAAAAGAAACCACCACCAACAAAGCAAAACCCTGTATTCCTTTGAAAAGAGAACCTTAAACTTCACATCTGCAGAGATAAGAAACTCTATAAAACATTGGATGTAAGCAGAAGTCCGTGTATTTCAGGCATATTCTGGGATTCTTGCATGTGTAAATTGCTGTCTGCTCATGGGTGAATGAGGAGCTGTTTGAAGGTTAACATAACCTCAAACACAGTCAAGAAGGTCTTCAGAGATTTAATTGGTTTGTGGAACAACTCCAGACTAGTGCTGTGCTTTCTTTTTTTCTTTGCCTTTCTGCTTCTCTAACTCTCTTTTCATAAGGAAAAAAAGAGGATGCATGGTAATGCATCATTTATAAATTACCTTGTTATTGATGGGGAAAAAACACACAGAAAAAAAATACTGCTTTGAAAACCAAACAAACTCCTGCTGCGGACTCCAGCCTTTTTGATGGAGACCCTTCAAAAGAGTCCAGGGCGTAATGGAGGTTGTTTGTGCAAAGACTTCGATCTGTACCTGCTGTCCCCTGTCACTCCCTGGAAACTTGGCGGCAGATGTTGCAGCGGTAAGTTGTCTCTGAAGTGGCTTTCTGTCCTGTCTCCCCACCGCCGTGGAGTCAAACTGCATTAGATCTCCTATTTGTGCCTCGGGCAAGTTTGGGAGCACAGCTGTGTCCACCCCGCTCCTACCTTTGGAGTTTGGGGCCTCCAGGCAGCGCGCGGGAGACCAAAAACGGTCCTGCCTCTCTCAACTACCTCCGCTGACAATCGCCAGCGCTGCCGCCAGCAGATGTCGGGACAACCTGCTAGCTCGCACCTGGCCGCGAAACCCGCGACTCCCAGGACCCGGCGCCCGCATCAAAGCCCGCGCCTGCCTGCCCGCAGCCCCGCGCGGGGAGCCCGCCCGCCCCGGCGGCTGCTTTGATACTGCGCGCGCCAGCTCCAGCCTCCGCATCAAGGACCCCGGGGCCGCGCAGAGCTCGGCCCGGGAGCCCCGCGGCTACTGCGCCCCAGCACAGACCCGGCTCCAAAGGCACAGTGAAGGGCTCGCTGCCCCACCTGCGGGACTCGCTGCAGCGCTGTGCTCTCCGGTTTGTTTATCAGACAGAGCTCTCCGGAGGCAGAATCTGCAATAAACTGTTCCTACCGAAATGCAAGGCTGTTTTCCAAAGCACAGAACAAGCTGCTGGGTAGGTTGGGGTTGCGTTCCTTGGAGCCATTAGTCAGGCCCTGAGAAAAACTGTGCCTTATTATCTGTCATGAAGCTTACTGTCAGCCTCCCAGTTCACTCGTGGAGGATGCCACTCTGTGGTATCCAGATGAAAAGGTACTATTTATGCCTTGACGATGTAAATGAGAACGGCCTTCTAAATCCTGGAGTTTCTGAGTCTTCCTGATTCCTAACATGAGTAAACTGTTTTACAATCAATCTCCCTCCCTCCTTCTCTACCCCCTCCACACACACACACACACACACACACACACTCTCTCTCTCTCTCTCTCTCTCTCTCTCTCTCTCTCTCACACACACACACACACACACACACCACGCCCCCACACACATAGACAGACACACACATTGTACCAATATAAATACTTCATAAAAAGCACAAACCAATGTAAATGGTGTGTTTGTGTATATTTGTGCATTCAAAGAAGGCTGACAACCACAGGAGACACAGGAAAACGAAGTTAATAATGACACCAACTTGCAAGTTGATAAATTTCAGTTTTTTTCTTTAAAGAAATTGACCTTAATATAACATTTGTTCCAATGGGTTAGTTGATATGATAGCCAAACTGCTTCAAAAGGGATTTAACATACTTACCTATGCTGAAAACAGACTGTTTATAGAGCTTCTAACATTTAATAGGAGAGTTTACTGGAAAGTAAATTTTTAGAGCAAACTGATAATTAGATGAAAATGAAGATCTCATTCACAAAAGTACAGTTCATATTTATATGAAGTATGTATATGTTAATTTAGTCAGGATTTAATGTTTAACTCAGTTTAATCAGATATTGGTGGATTTTAGGGGAGTACATTTTACAAATATCCAAACTTTTTCATAATAGCTAAAAGGAGCATATACAATTTCCCAATCCATCCTCCATTCTTACTATTTACTCAATACCCTGCACTGAATAAGATGGAAATCATTAAACATACAAACAAACATCGGACCTGGTGAGGAGCACCCTGAGATGAGGCATGAAAGTCATTGTAAATGAATGAGGTGAAACTCCAGCGTGTTTGAGAGGAAGAAGGGTTACACACAGTTGGAGGAGCAGAACTCAAGCTCATATCTGAATTTAAACTGAGGTATGAATTTCCATATAAAGGAAGTGTCTGATCGCAATCTGCCAATGACCTGGTAATAGAAGGACTGACACCTGAAGCACATCATTCGCGCCCAATGGTCTTAGCAAAACACACTGTCTCATGTTAGAAAGTTCAGCTACATATTCTTACGTTGTTTACAGTAACTAGCTGACCTCAGATATTTCTGAAATGTTCCTAAGTTGTTAGGAGGAGGCTTGAAACAATTTTTCTAAAATTGTAGCACTAGAAAATGGTGCACATTATTAGGAAAAATACTAAGAATAGAATAATTCTAAACAGATTTCTAAAATGAGAGCTTGAAGCAGCCTCCTTTGGTAAGGAAAGGACATGCATACGGCACACCTGTAAGGAAAGGACGTGCATACGGCACACCTG